TGCCTGTCCCGTTTGGCTCTTTTGCATCAGAATTATTGTCTAAAGGCGAAGAAAGATGCCCATCGGATTTACTTTACCAAATGGACCATCCCAGCCTTACCATAATGGTTTATTACGGTTTATTTTATTTTATTTTCACTTGCTAAATACGGGACAGGCTTGACTGGAGCATCAGCATAACCACTGACAGAGCGTACTCATGATCTAGACCCTGAGATCCTTAAACTGCTCCACCTGGAGTAGTGACTTGAATGTTGCTGTTGGAGCACATGGTCCAGTGCCCTTTCTTAAAGGTGGCAACAGATTCTTTGTAAGTGAGCAAACACACAAATTTAGGAGGGGATCAAATGATTATTTCACCCCAACATGTCCATGTTCTTTACTCTATGGTTTTGCTACTATTTTTTGTATTTAGCAATACAGTTTATTTCATTTTGCAATCAGTTAGGTAGACAAAGTTTAAAAGTTTGTCTCGCAGCTTTAAGCATTCACACTACAATCAAGAACTACATCCTTTAGTCACTGCATTTTGGACTAAAGACTTAACTGGACTTGACTTGTAACTATGTAACAAGACCCTTTGTTGGGGTGAAATTTGGAGGGTTTGTAGACAAATTGCTTCAGTTTTCTAACTGATCGTTGTCACATCGTAAAATTGTCTGAATGGATTAAATCACAATCATTTTAGCTTTTACACACATAAATACTTGTAACAGTTGTGCAAAGCTGTTTACAGAGAGGCTGAGAGCAGTCAGTCATTTACTAGTTCACATGTTATTCTCACAGATTTATAAATGACAGATTTTCCTGTTTGACTCCAGGGATGCCATGTGATCCAATATCTTATCAGAAATCGATGTAAGTAAATCCAACCTTTTACTGACAGAGCCTCGTGTGAATCAGCTCTTTCGTCTCCCTCAGTTCTCTTCAGTCGACCCTGTCGATTCTGCCGTTCTCTCAGAGCTGTTTTCACACTAGTCACCCATGCCTGATACGCCAACTGGGAGAGACATCTCATTTTAGCAACAGCATACATCATACAACACAAAACTTTGCGCTTTTGTTTGTGTGAATAAATTGTGTGTGTGAGCACCTGACAGGCAGTCTGTTTCTGAGGCTTCTGTTCTTCAGACTGTAGCTCATCTTCATCCTCGCTGTCAGATTCAAACAGGTAATAGTCTCCTGAGTGTAGCACTGTAAGTAGGAAAACATATTGTCATGTAAATAGCTCAAATAAGTCTCTAATGCTGCCATAACAATCATTTGTATATGTTGCTATTGTTGCCTTTAATGCTACTTTTTAGAGTTCTTTTCATTGTTACTATTTTGGGGTCTTTTTTTGAAAAAGCTGCTTTTATACCTCGCCAGTGGTTGAGTAAGCACACAAAATGTTACTGTATCTTTCTACAATGACAAGTAATGAATCTAAATCTGAATCTCGGTCTGTATCATAGCACCAAAAGAAAATCTGGTCATTACGATGGTCCGTTCTGAGCAAACACGGCTCATTTTATAGTTCTTGAATGCATCGTTCAAACCAAAATCATCACTGCTCATAGACACCAGCAGGACTGCATCATCCAAAAGTGACAAAGACTAACTTTGCCTTCTTCATAGATACAGGTTGTTACTGTAGTAACTCAGCTGATGACCACAGCCACCCCCTGTTCCCTCCAGAACTGCCTTCAACAAGATGTGGTGAGCAAAGGTGGATATACTTGTATCTCCCTGCTTTGTAGTCTGTACACAGGGGTTTTCATCGATGGATGAGTGGACTGAGGTGGATGTTGCTCATGAGGTAGGGCGGATCACCTGCTAACTGGAACGTTTGAAAGTAGTTTGACCCCTAGCTGCTCTAGTCTCCATACCAAAGCATCCTTGGGCAAGATACTGAAGCCCAAGTTGTTCCCAGTGCATTCAGAGTATGTATGTTTGTGCATGTTAGATGTCACAAAGTTCGACTCTACCGGAGCTGATTATTTGTGTTCTTTTTTGTGAGTGAAAACAGTTACACACAGAGACTCAGAATATATTGGTTCTATATGTGTATGTAACTGACACGTGGGCTAATTTGTGAGGACAATGTTTGAAATAGATGTTCATGTGAGAAATAGCTACTAATAAATCTAACTGTGACACTGCAAGAACTGAATGAAACACAAAGTGTCAGTTATGCAAGCTCAGTCATCCAGGTGAGGAAATCTCAGCACATTTGCACAATGACTGAAACTAGCATCACTGACTATCAATGGGCCGTCAGGTCAGTTTCATGATCAGTGGTGATGAGTCGCATTCACAGAGAGTTGGGGAATGGCTGCAACCACAGCAATGTAAGACACTAACCCTCACCTCCTCCTCGATTCAGAGACGGGGAGTCAAGGAGGCCATTTACGTGAAAAGGGAAAGACCATCTCTGAATGGAGGAGAGGGCGTAAGAGTACTCAGAGAGGCAGAGAGGGATAAGGAGAGAAATGAGGTGTGTCTGGACACCAGGTGACTGCATCTCAACAATGGTGATTGGATATCCAGAGAGAAGGAGAGAGGGGGATGCACAAGGGCAGAGTATAAAAATGGTGCTCGGGAACATTTGCCATTGGGGGGTTTTTTCTCTAGTTCCTGTGATGAGCAGAAGACGTCAAATGAAGATCTGGCTCTGGACATCTGCAGTCAGGCTGCTAAACTGCTTCAATAAAACATCATCAAAGAAGTCCAAATTGTGGACGTTCCCTTTTATCTTTACTATTTTACAGAAACAGTAAAGGTAAAAGTCTGAGTATTAATCTACATCACAGGTCACTCCAGCCTTCTAAAGTAACAGACCATTCTAGGCTTAGTTTTCCAGTTAAAATAAACCCAGTCATATTTCAGGAGCACAGATCTAGAGAGGAGCTACCATGACGGACGTGGTTGGGAGGACCGGCCTGCGAGGCTATTCAGGGTTTCTGTAAGACATCCATACAGAGACTGCATACAGAGACTGCATACAGAGACTGCATACAGAGACTGCATACAGAGACCGCATACAGAGACCGCATACATATACTGCATACAGAGACCGC